TCCTCCTCCTCCTCCTCCATCCTCCTCCTCCTCCTCCTCCTCCTCCTCCTCCTCCTCCTCCTCCTCCTCCTCCTCCCCTGGCTACCCGCGTGCGCTGTCGCCTCGGCCCGGGGCGTGTGCCCGGCAGCTCTGAAGTGGCGTGAGCTACAGGCCTCGGAAAACATAACGAACACGCATGCCACATTCATCGGTCAGCGCCTCCTCCTCCACCCAAACTGGAACGTGAGCTGCTGCTTCGGGGACTGCATCGGCGAGGGAAGAGCAAGACGCCGAGCCCATGCAAGCTAAACAACCACGCGCGCATCGCCTGCGCTGCGACTATGGCACAGCGCTGGCTAGGACACATCACGCTACAGCTCCTCCTCCTCCTCCTCCTCCTCCTCCTCCTCCTCCTCCTCCTCCTCCTCCTCCTGTGGGGCATGTCTCGATGCCTCGCGAGCTGGAGTTCCGCAGTTCACGCGCGGGCCGGGGACGGACCTGCAAACAGGAGCCAGTGCCCGCTCGCCCTCAGGGGACGAAAGGACACGGTGGTGCACCCCCCTCCCATGTCGAGGAGGCCTCCTTCAGACGACACGACTGTCACCAATATGATGGAGCAATGCGTGAGGCCAATGGGCGACGATATCCTCCTCCTCCTCCTCCTCCTCCTCCTCCTCCTCCTCCCAATCACGGCGGCTATGGCAGCGACGGCGATGGCAGCGGCGACGGCGACGTCGACCCAGCGGCGCGCGGGATGCCCCTGGGGACGTGGACCGAACAGTTGTGAACATTCCATGCGCGGGGGGCCATCGCGCAACAATCCGTCCCTCTGTGGGGACGATCTCCACGTACGGGCTGCGTCTGGGGCGGAAGCCGAGCGGGGTTCCGCCGAATCTCGGGCCAGGGCAAAGCCAGAAGTTGACCTCCCAGGAGCTGCATCCGGAGCCATGGGCGACCGGGCTTGATGCTGTTTCTCCTGCTCCGGAGCGGAGCATCGTACAAAGCAGGGTTCCCGCTCGTGCGCAGGCACCGCTGGTGCGCAAGCAGGTGCCGCGGGCCACGGCCTGGCCAATTCCACGAAGCGTGCTCGCACCGCAACGTTTCGCAGGGCGCAGAAAGGTATACTGGGGCTGCGTGCTTCTGCTGGGGACCCACGCCCGCCCCGCACATGTAGCTTTAGGTCGGGCATGCCCTCCTGCAGGCGGATCGTGGACGAACAAGAAAAAAAACACAACATACGCAACATTGTTTAACATATTAGAAAAATAGGCCCCAGACTGATGTCTTGACTATGTTTGAACATTCCGCCTCCAGAGGGACAGGCCCGACTTGAATGCATCATCCAAGTATGGAGCATTACAATACCCAAAAAGTTGGGCCATGAAATCGTCCGCCGAGATGCCTCAGAGCGCGCGTCACCCATGCGGCAACGACGCACACATAGTACATGGTGTGTCGGAGTCTGGCCGACTCCGAGCCTCGAACACGCAGCGCTGCGAGCCGTTCGCATATCTGTCAGAGAGGGACGAAATGGAGAGGGACGAGATGGACGAAATGGAGAGGGACGAGATGGAGAGGGACGAAATGGAGAGGGACGAAATGGAGAGGGACGAGGTGGAGAACCACCGCAAAGTGCCAACGGTGCTGCCACAGTCCCGCCGCTAAAAGAGGAGCTGCCTGTGACAATGATTGCCCAGGGCGAGCGGCTGGGGAATGTGAAAGGCTTCTCCGAGAGGGGAGCAAGTGGGCTCGCGACTGCAATGCAGCCTCACGCAGACAGTAGATAACGTGACCTACCAAACCACGCGCCCCCAAAAGGAGGAAAGGAAGCAGGGAAGTCTTCCGACAAGACGGGTAGAGCTTTGAACGGGACGCTGCATTTCCTAAGTCATGGGTCTGGTCGCTCAGACATTGTTGTTGCACCTCGAGCCTCTGGAAGGCCATAGCTGCACAAGTCCGACGCAATCCCTAGCAGAGGCAAGTGTTGGGTATGTACACGTGTTACGTGCAACGGTGCCCCTGGCACACTCCGAGCACATTGCGCCAGCTGCCAGACAAGCGGAGAGGAGCCTGGGTGCCGAAAGTCACGCAAAGCAAAGCACTAGCAAGGGCGAACTGAACGAATCGCTTCCCACAACACTCAGTGAATTGGAGCGAGGGAAAACACGACGGTACGTCCTCCCGTCGATCATGCGGAAACGAATTAGGAGGCAAGCTGGACAAGGAAGGAGGAGAGCAAGGAAAGCGAGTACGATAAGTCCGCTGCCACATCGCGCGGCATGGACGGTCTTCCACTCGACTGGGGCCGTTATCCCACCAGCCCTCTGGGCTTGCATGATCTGGGGAGCTCGTTCTTCTAACCCCCTTCTTCCTCCCCCTGGGCCTGGAGAACCCCCCCACCGCGAGTGCAAGAGGGTCCCGTTTGGCCCCCGGTGGCTCCCAGGGGGACCCAGACAGCGCAGGATGACCTCCAAGATGACCCAAGATATCCCAAGATGGTCCGAGATGGCCTTCAATGTGA